ACGTACATGTCATTACTGTAGGTTGAGAAGTGAAATGTGGTAAAAGATAGCATCAGAGTCTTAAGAAGAATAGTATCAAAAGTTTGTGGTGGTTTTTGTTACTTCTTCGTTCAGGGAGGAAAGAAAGGAAATGGTTGCCATTTTGTTCATATTTTCCTTTCAGAAACTTTCAGTGTGATCTCTAATATGGATCTCACTTCATTTGTTTTTGTTTTTTTTTAAATAACCCATAGAAGTTATATATGTTAACCACATTTTCTTTTCTGTCACAAGCATCTTCTTGAATTTGTGCATTTCCAAATGCTTTGTATCTCCAAGGCACTCTGTAAATACTAACTGAATGACTATTCAAATACACTTGAAGACTCCAAAGAGTTGTGTTTTCATGGATATAGTGTTTTTGCGGAGCTACAGATAGGGAAATAAATTCCTGTCTCTCTCTTTCTCTGAAAGAATAATAAGTTCAATTTAATTAATTAGCTAATGATATAAAACTAAACTTTTAAATCAGGAAGACAGAGTAGAAACAGTGTATCCCATTTTATCATGGTTTTCCTTCGCTTCTAGACTGTGCAGTAGCCAGGACAACCTTATGACAAGGTTAGAGTCTCACTAGATATGGAAGATTCAATTATTTGCTCTTTTTTTTGCCTTTTTATATTCTAGACTTACATTACCAGTAGTGATTAACTTACTTTAAATAATTTAGGTCTTTAATAATAAACATTTATGTTTCTCCAGGATCTTTCTGCTCTCCAGTTAAATTTAGCTTCATGTGGGAAAGTAGAGAGAGACGAAGTAATAGGCTCAAAGATTGGTAGTCTCTGAGTAGTGAGGCATTCTAATTTGGAGTTTGGTTTAAGAACCACAACAGAAATCTGTTTCTCCACATTTTAAGGTTCCATAGGGGAAAACTGTACTCAGAAGTGGTTTTTAAATTTTGGATTTAGTCCAGGAATGGAAATGTATTAGATTCTGTTATTTGTAACAACAGAACTCTGGCTAATTAAAACATAAAAAAGGATATGTGTAATTAGAGGCTTATGGAATCTAAGGGTGGGCCAAATTTATCAATACTAGGAGAGTAGTACAAAGCTTTACCAAAAGGTTTAAGGGTTGAAACAAGCAAAAAAGACACCAAAACTTACTTTTGTAACAAACAGTAAAACTCAATATAGAAAAATTAGAAAGTAAAAATCACTCATTACTTTCTAGAAATTAAACTAAAAGATGAAAAAAAAAATCCTGATAGTTACATTAGTATTTGTTTAGTAGTAAAGCCAAACACCTTAAAAAATAGCCACTTATACTTTTTTTTGGTAAATATTGACTCTCCCAGCCTTTTTTGTTTGGTGATTTTTCTATCTCTGCTGTCATGCTGAGAGACAGGCTTTCCCAATCTAAATGTTGTAGAATGTTTAAAATATAATTTTGAACCAATGGGGTTAATTTCCCTCAACCCCCACAATGTCTCCAAATACTGCTTTTGGTAATGGTGGTCCACTAGGCTGTGGTTTTTCTGGGTTGTAAGGAGATATAATTAGGCCAGTACTACCTGTCTTAGTCAACTTGGGGCGTGTATTATAGTCCATTTGTGTTGCTATAAAGGAATACCTGATACTGGATAATTTATAAAGGAAAGGGGCTTATTTTGGCTCACCATTCTTCAGGCTGCACAGGAAGCATAGTGCTGGCATCTGTTTCTGGTGCAGGCCTCAGGAAGCTTACAATCATGGCAGAAGGTGAAGGGGAGCCAACATGTCACATAGTGAGAGAGGGCACACGAAAGGGTGAAGGGTGGGCTATTTTAAGCAGCCAGATCTCCTTTTCTGTGAACTCAGAGAGTGAAAACTCACTCGTTACCACAGGGATAGCACCAAGCTATTAATGAGGTCTCCACTCCCATGATCCAAACACCTCTGACAAGTCTACCTCCAATATTGGAGGTCACATTTCACCATGAAATTTGGAGGGGACAAAACATCCAAACCAACTCAGGCTACTATAACAAAATGCCATAGACTGGGTGGCTTACAACAGACATTTATTACTCATAGTTGGGGAGACTTGGAAGTCCAAGATCCATGTGCCAGCAGATCCAGTTCTTGATGAGGATCTTCTTCCTGAATTGTAGACAATCACTTTCTCACTGTATCTTAACATGACCTAGATAAAGACGGAGTGAGCTCCCATGCAGGGGGGCAGCACACCAGCGTGAATTTACGTAAACTTAATTATCATGCAGAGGCCTCTCTACCAAGTACTATCACATTGGGGGCACAGCTTCAGAATGAATTGTAGGGAGGACACAAACAGTCACTCCATGACACTTCTCTTATTCTACTTTTTGTTGTTGTTTTACCTCCATCTGAGGGTAAAATAAAAACTAGAAATTCTTTATTCGGTCCTCAGTAATGTTAAGTTTACCTTTCTAGGGTAATTAGTGTTATTTGACAAGATATACAGAAAAGTTTTATCTGTGTATGTATGTACAGGAAATCATTTTTTACTTTTAGATCTTCAGTCCATCTAGGGTTTTTGTTTTGTTTGTTTTCCTTTCGGTGTTTAGTATCAAAGAGGGATCTGTATTTTTCCAAGTATTTTGCTCAGGCTCTTTTCGGTATTTTTTGACTAATTTATTATTTCCACACTCAAAATGTTAGCTTTATTATATACCACATCCTATTATATATAGGTCTGTTTGTATACTTTGAATTATTTTATATTACTAATACTAAACTTTTTATTTTTACTTAAATGGTTTTCCTCCTCTAAAGTAGTCTGTTAGTGTTTTGAAATATTTTTGGCAGTTATTTCTACTCTGTTTTTCTAAAATTTTTATCGGGGTTTTTCACTATAATTGCATTTCATTTGTGTATTAATATAGGGAAAATTGACATGTAAATAAGTTTTCCTATTTAGGAATATGGCATAGCCTCCATTTTTTCAAGTCAGATTTGTAAGTTTTTTTTTTACAATTTTATTCATGAGTGTTTTAAATATTAATGTTTACAAATATAATTGAACTCTTTTCTGCAATAAATGTGTAAAGATATGACCCATTGTAACATGCTGATTATATAGTTCATATACATTTTGCATATGTTTATAAGCAACCACATTATTGGTTCTGATGGCCCTTTATTTCATCTTGGATTTTTCAAATAACAATTCTTTCTATTCCTTCCTAATGTTTATTGTTTCCTTTTTCTTATTACACTGGATTGAATTTCCAGTCTCAGTTGAACAATGGTAATGATAATGCATCATCTTGTCTTGATCTTTTTTTTAATAGCCATGTCTCTTTCTGTTTAATGTTGATAATGGCCACTGATTTGAGAATAATCTGCTTTATTAAGAGTCCTTTTCTCAGGTTTTCTTTTTAAATCAGATAGTAAATGCTAAGTTTTATTAAATGCCTTTTTAACATCAAATAAGAAAGTGGTGTGAGCTTTTAATGTGAGGAATAGTCTAAAAATATCCTTGTGTTCTTGGAATAGTCCTACTTGACTGTGTAGTTTTCTTAAATACAGAGCTATTATTTCATAATAAATGAATTTTTTAATTAATATGCATGAGACTGCTTTTTAATTTGTTTATAAAGTACCAAGTTTGTAATAGGTTGCTAAAATACATTAGAATACTTTCACATTTCATGTATCTTGGATTAATTTTAAAGCTTAGTAATTATGTATACTCCAGCATTATAGAATGTGATAGTAAATTTTCAGGGCCTGATACTTTTTTGGAGCAGTGGTTAAAAACTGAAACTTTTTAATTCATAGTTGTTAAGCACAGTCAGTGTAAATTGTGAGTCTCTTTTTGTAATAACCTCAGTCACCTGGTAGATAATAAAATCTGCCTTATAATTTACTTTTTTGTTTTTGATTTTTTCTCTAAAAATATTAATGGAAATAACATTGCATAAAGTTTTAAAAATATTTCCACATGTTTGAACATGGTTAAATGCATTTTTTTTATTGTGAAACCCTTCTGCATTTCAGTATTCATTTAAAAATATTAATTAGATGTAACTTTTAAAGGTATTATTTATTGTTTATTCAGTTTCCATTTTTGAGTGCTTATTTTGGTTTACTTCTTGGTTTGTGAATTTGCTCATTTATTTTGTTAGGCCACATATGTGAGTGGTAGACCTGTTTTAATATACTTGTCAATTAGCAGCATCTTTCTTGACTATAGCAGTCATCAATATTAGCCTTATTTCCCTCAAAACATTGTAAGTTTTGCTCTATTGCTTTTAGGAAGGAAATAAGTATTCTGTGGAAGAAATTTGAAGTCATTTTAACTTTTGCTTGTGATTTTTTTTTTTCTTAACACTGAAATGGAAAAACTATTTTACATTTAAATAACTATTTCTTCATTAGTATTTTCTGGCAATAGGATCTATCTTGAGTGACTTTGCAGTAGAGATACTTGATTTAGGGACTCTCCAAAAGAAGATACTTTGGTATTATATTTGGTTTGGGAGATCCTATGTAAGTTATCTACTGCTGTGTAAAAAATTTACCCCAAAACGTGGTAACTCTAAGACCGTATCCATTTATTATTGCTCAGTTTCTGTGTGCCAGGAATCAAGGTATGACTTAACTGAGTCCTCTACTTGGGTCTCACAAGGCTGGAGTCAAAAGTGTCAGCCAGAGCTGGGAACTCGTGTGAAGGCTTGACTAGGGAAAGATCTTCCTTCCAAGTCAACTCAGTTCCTAATTTAGTGCTTTTTTCACTACAACACATATTGGTGGATTGTTAATTTATTTGCTAATCACATTTGGATCTCATATCCAGACCAGAGAACATGTGTTTTATTTCTGTTTGTTACTCAGTTGTAAGTTTGGATGCAGTGCGTGCACATGCATGTGTGTGTGCGCGCATGTGTGTATGTATGTAGCTAAAGATAGTTACAGATGGGGGCAGGAAGAGAAGAGAATGTTGACAACTTTTTTCTGTTTTAAGAATTGCAGTACTTTTTTTTTCCTCCATAGGGGCCTTAGCTGGACCAATTATCGTGGAGCCACATGTCACAGCAGTATGGGGAAAGAATGTTTCATTGAAGTGTTTAATTGAAGTAAATGAAACCATAACACAAATTTCATGGGAGAAGATACATGGCAAAAGTTCACAGACTGTTGCAGTTCATCATCCTCAGTATGGATTCTCTGTTCAAGGAGAATATCAGGGAAGAGTCTTGTTTAAAAACTATTCTCTTAATGATGCAACAATTACTCTGCATAACATAGGATTCTCTGATTCTGGAAAATACATCTGCAAAGCTGTTACATTCCCACTTGGAAATGCCCAGTCCTCTACAACTGTAACTGTATTAGGTAGGTATGCTTGAATTATGTATTTTGGTGATAGTGGTGAAGATCATAATAAAAATATTTTCAATAAAATGGTTGAAATTTTATTTAACTTTAGGTTTAAAGTAAAGGAATTCAAATATGATTTAAGATCTTAAAATTTATGGTTCTAGGTTCTCTTTAAATAAAATCTTTTCTGATATACCTACTTATCTATGTAATACTACATAGTTTTAGCTGGTTTCTTAATGAAAGATCATGCTGAGTTTTGATTATATACTAAGTTATGAGTTTCTTTGACATCTTTATTTTCGTTACTTCCCCTCACATTTTCAGCCTTTAATTAAATTGCCATCTTAAGTTTTTTCATTTTTTAAAAAAATAGTGTTTTGCATCTAGAAGTCATTGACACCTCGTGTTTTAATTTTTCATGTCAAATTTTATTTCTGCTATTTTAAATTTGCCTAGCTATCTGAATATTGTGCTTTTGCTCCTAATAGTGATATTTCACCATTTCCTATCTGATACCTGTTAAAGTTTATGGTAAAATCTTGAAAAAGCTTGTGAACCTTAAGCTACTTGCAGTGAAATGTGAACCAGTTTGGAAATGCTGATAAGTTCTTTTTAAATGATAGAAATGAAGATTGAGGAGTAATAGCAACTGGTGACTGCTGACATGATAATCTACTGCTTAGGCTCTCTTCAAACAGCTACTAGTAGTGTGGGTAGCTGACAGCTTCCAGATGTTGGCTCCTTTAAGATTACTTCAGTTTTTGAGTCAGGGCTATTCTTTATGTGAGTGACCTCAGGCCAATGACTAAGTGAGGCAGTGGTAGCCAAGGGTAAGGTCTTCTTGGGGCCAGTGATTGAATAAGATAGTGGTGTGAAGATTTTTACCCAAAGTGGGACTCCTTTAATGGAATCTGCTCATTGGCCTGATGGAGAGTTTGTCAAGGTGCTGATAGCTCCCCTTACTCAATCTTCCTTCTCCCTTTTCTCCCGGTTATCACTCCTTAATAAACCATTTATACTTCTGATATCACAGTGTCTGCTTCCAGAGAACCAAACAAGTTAATAGCCCCTAATGTTTAAGGACGTAATATTAGTCTCTGAAATATAAGACACCAATTTTGTCCACATTTATTATATAGTTTTTCATGTTGAGAGATATTATTTTAAAATAAAAATAAAATTAGATATTTGAGGCTTAAATGTTTAGGACACTGGCCTAAGAGCTATGGGGAAATATAACTTACATTTAAGAGATTGGTATTTTTGAGAGATTTTCTGATTAGAGGGCAAGGCATGAATATCCGAAAACTCATCTGCAGGACATCAGTCGTAACACAGGTCAGGCACAGTGGCTCACACCTGTAATCCTAGTACTTTGGGAGGCCAAAGTGGGCGAATCACAAAGTCAGGAGATCGAGATCATCCTGGCAACATGGTGAAACCCTGTATCTACTGAAAATACAAAAAATTAGCTGGGTGTGGTGGTGAGCACTTGTAATCCCAGGTGCTTAGGAGAATGAGGCAGGAGAATTGCTTAAACTCAGGAGGTAGAGGTCACAGTGAGCCGAGACTCCACTCAGGCCTCGGCAATAGAGCAAGGCTCTGTCTCTTTTAAAAAAAAAAACAAAAAAAAACAAAAGGTAACAGAAGTACTGTGTGGCATGGCTCACTCCTATAATTCCAACACTTTGGGAGGCTGAGGCAGCTGGGTCACTTGAGGTGAGGGGTACATGACCAGCCTGGCAACATGGCAAGATCCCATGTCTACTAAAAGTACAAAAATTAGCTAGGCATAGTAGTGCATGTCTGTAATCCCAGCTACTTGGGAGGCTGAGTCTTGAGAATCACCTGAACTCGGGAGTCGGAAGTTTCAGTGAGCCAAGATCATCACACCACTGCACTCCAGCCTGGGCAACAGAATGAACTCTGTTTAAAAAAAAAAGACTAGTGCTTTGCATATGAAAGAGCAAGCTCATGGGGATAAAATCACTTTTTATTTTGCTTTAAATTTTAGTATTTCCCTCTTAATTAATACAATACTTACTGGTTTGACATCTACGCTGTTTGTTACAAGATTAGTCATTATTTTACCAATGCATACATCTCTCGCTTATCTATTCTACTCCTTGTGCTCTTTTTTCAGAAACCTAAGTCTTACCATCATAATAAACTGTTTGCAGTCCTTTTAACCTACGTTTTCATGAGTGTTTCTCTTTCTGCCTGGATTGCCTTTTTTTCTGTCCTTCTCTTTCTTCCTGTATTCTTCTGTGTAACTGTTATTTATCAAATCTATTCTTTTAGTAGCCATTCTTGACCCCTTTTCCCTAATCTGATGCTTTTTTGGCTGTCATTGTTATGTTGAACATAATCTTTATTGTAGCAGTTGCCACACTATTATGTTTTCTCCACTATAAACGTCGTGGACAGTGACTGTGCATTTTAAATTTTAATTTTACGTCCCTAAAGCTAGTAAGTTTCCAGTGTATAGCAGTAATACAGTGTTATTTGAGTAGGATACAGGAATGGATTAGTGAACTTGGTAGTCAAGAAATATTTTGCAGGAGAAAGAGTTGAGTCAGTCCTCAGTGGTGAGTAGGTTTTGGGTAGGAAAATGAAAGAATAGGAAAATGGTGTTCTAGAATTTGATAGTATGTGAACCAAGGCAGGGAAACAGAAAACAATATGCACTTCACACTTGAACAACATGGGTTAGAGCTGTGTAGGTACACTTATACATAGATTTTTTTAAACTAACTGCAAATAGAAAATAGAGTGTTCGTGGGATGTGAAGACTGCATATATGAAGGGCCAACTTTTCCTGTACACAGATTCCACAGGGCCAACTGCAGGACTTGATTATGCACGAACTAGGGTATACTTAGGGACCCTGGAACCAACCCTCCCCACGCACCACCAGGGTGTGCTAAGGGACCACTGAACATTAAGGCAAAGTTTTCTTAACCCCAATGTATTGTTGACATTTTGGGTCAGGATTCTTTGTTGTAGTGAGCTGTACTATTTGTCATAGACAGCATCTGTGGCCTCTAAACACTATGCCAGTAAATGCCAATAGCATCCCTCAGTTGTTAGACTCAGAATGTCTCCAGATACTGCAGAGTGTCCTCAAGAGGGGAGCAGAAGTTAGTGGGGAATCACCCCTTGTTGAGAGCCCTGCATTAATGGATCATTGAGTAAGTAATTTAATGATTGTTCAAAGGATTTATAAAGTACAAGAATTAAAGTTTAGAATTATAGAGTAGAACTACGTTAAAGTAACTTAAATGCTAGGATACGGAATTTGAGTTTTATATTACTGGAAATTCATATTTTGTATACAATAGTTGTGCTGCTTCTCACCTGTCTTCTATTCTCAGACCCTTGCTGTTTAAAACATAGTTCGTGGACCAGAAGCATTGGCATCACTTGGGAGCTTGTTAGAAATATTTTCAGGCCAGGTACTGTGGCTCATGCCTGTAATCCCAGCATTTTGGGAGGCCTAGGTGGGTGGATGACTAAGTCAGGAGTTTGAGACCAGCCTGGCCAATATGGTGAAACCTAGTCTCTACTAAAAATCCAAAAATTAGCTGGGCATGTTGGGAGTGCTCCTGTAGTCCCAGCTGCTCCTGAGGCTGAGGCAGGTGAATTGCTTGAACCTAGGAGGCAGAGGTTACAGTGAGCCAAGATCACACCACAGCATTCCAGCCTGGGTGACAGAGTGAGACTCCCTCTCAACAAAAGAAAAAGAATTTCAGACCCCTCTTAGGCTTGTTGAATGAAAGTCTATATTTTAGCAAGATTCCTGAGTGATTTGTATACACAATGAAGTTTGAGAAACACTGCTTTGATCATATATAGATAAATGTCTAACTAAAAGCTCACCTAATTTAGAGAGTAATGTGATGACAGTTGTGATTAGGAAGATGGATCTGGTGTTTTTGATCAATTCAAATGAAGAGGTCCTTAAATCATAATATCTCAGCCATAAGGCCATGCAGAGTTGCAATTAATTTTGTGATTTTTGCCACATGAGTGAAGACAGAAACTATTGCAGAGGAATAATTAGCAGAATTTTGTAACTGACTGGATATAAGAAATCAGGAAAGCTTGAACAGTAACAGGTTTTGAAAGTTTGTGATTAAATGTTACTGCTAATTAAATGGGCACATCTGAATGAAAAGCGGGTGTTGGTGATTGGGAGGATAAAATGATTTTGGTGTTTGGTTTATTGATTTTGAGGAGCTCTAGGTGGAAATAACCAGATGTAGGAATCTGAGGCATCAAGCCTTGTATCAAAATTGAAGAACGTTCAGAATCATCTGGGTAGTAGTGTTTATCAGATTGAAATTTTTAGGTGAGATACAAAAGTAGTTGCAGGCCTAGGACTGATTATTTATTAAGAAAGAGGTTAGAAGAAATAGGAAGAATTCACAGAGTTATGAGAATAACTCAGAGTAATATATCAAGAAAAGATATGAAAGTTTTTAAGAAAATGTTGCTCTAGAGCCATTTCCACGGTAAGAAGTAAGCCCTATAGAAAATGATTTGACTGTTTTTTAGTTTCTCCTAAGGACAGCATGTAGCTAGTATAATTCTAAATTCATAGCCTAGGAGTTAATTCATGACTTAAAACTAATACTTTAACACATTAGGATTTAATTCTTTTCAGTTGATTGGGAAGAGCTGTGCTGAAGTATCAAATTTTACAAAGTTAAAGAGACTAGACATTAAAGTGTTGAGTTTTAGATGAGGGGTCTTTGATGATGTTAAAGTTTCAGTAGAGTGATAGTAGTAGTAGAACCAAATTAAGGGAAATTACAAATGACTGTTTTCCCAAATCTATATAGAACTTCTACTCACCAGTAAGAAAAAAATAGACAGCTGGCTATAATAGGCATTTTGCAGAAGAAAAGATTCCAAATGGCTCATAAACATATGAAAAGACTTTCAACCTCATTCATAATCTGAGATATTCAAAATAAAATCTCAGTGGTATACCATTACATACCTATCAGATTGCAAACACCGACAGGTCTGTGACAGTATCAGCTGGTGAGTATATAGATCAGCAGGAGCTCTAAGATTGGGAGTACATTAGTACTTTGGAAACGTTTTTGAAATTATCTGATAAAGTTGAAAATAAGTACTAGCAATTCTACTAGGGATAAACTTGTACACAAATATGCTAACATACATGAATGGAAATGTTTCTTGTAAAATTGTTCAGACAAAACTGGAACTCCATTGTCCACTAATAAACTATAAAGCAGTTAAAATTAATCTATACAATTGTATGTAAAACCAAATGATCTAAAATTAAAGTGAAATAAAATGAATTCCAAAAACAAGAAATTTAGCCTAAATGTTTTGAGTATGAATGAATCTCCAGAACACAATGTTGAGTCAAAGAAAAACTACAAAAATACATATAGTCCAGTCCAATTCTTAAAAAGTTCAGAAACAGACTAAACTGTGTTGTTTAGGTTTGCATTGGTTGCAGAACTATAGTGAAAAATAAACAGTTGATCTCCAAAGTCAATATAATGGTTTCACATTGAGGCAGGCAAGGTTTTAAGATATAGCAGAGGAATGTGAGGAACTTGTGAGGTTCCAGTAATTTTGTTTGTTAGGATGTGTGATGGTTACATAGGTGTTTGCTATAAAATTGTTCATTGCATATGCTGCATGTACTTTTTCATTTGTTATTTTACAATACGTCTTGTAAAAGGACCTACATAAGGAAAATAATCATATCCATGAGAGGAAAATGTGAAATAATAGATTTCAAAGTAAAATGTGAAACAAAAATTGGTTCTTACAATACCATCTGTTCTTGATGGTACTGAAAGAACCAATTTGAAATCCCAGAAATGAAAAAAAAAAAATCGTTGATATAAAAACTCAATGCACACAGTAAACTAAAGACTGGACACAAAATTTATGAAGCCAGTATTGAGGAATTTACACACAAAGAAGCACATAATGATCACTGGAAAATATAAAAAGATAGCTAAGAGATATTGAGGGCCAGAATAGATTGAGGTGTTCTAAAATTGTTGCTTTACCCTATGGAACTTTCTTATATCGGAAGAAGGATGGGTGGTATGTACATTCTAATAAACTTAACTGTTTGTGATGTTACATGTTAGCATGAGCTTAAAGTATATGTTGTAAATAAAAGTAGTAGAACACATTAGCAACCCTAGATGGTTGTTTTAGATACGTGAGCAGTTAAGGGTTGAAAGTTTAAAAGGCAATATTTTAAATGAAACTATTGAGTCACTTACTGGGCCAAGAAAAACTTTTCGTCTTCAGTGGGTATGCTCAAAGGAACTTAATTTTTCTTAACATTTTAACAGTCATAATCATAACTTATTTTTAAAAGTATTTGCTTTAAAATTTTTTTTTGCTGTAAAATGAAGAGATATATATGTATATCCTTATCTTCCAGAGTACTAGTATCTTTAATCTCATAAAGGGAATTGTCATCTAGTTCACAGAAATTTTTTGTATAAAGTTGGAAGGAATTCATCTGTCCCTAAAGGATTGTATGTTTTTATCAGGTAAAGCCATCTTTGTAGTAGTAGTATGAATTCTTGGTCTCATTTGTCCTAGACTAATTGATGATGGCATTACCTAAAAAGTGTGTGTGGATTTTATATGCATTTTTTCCAAGAATGTAATTGATGATGGCATTACCAAAAAAGTGTGTAGATTTTATATGCAGTTGTCCTTAAGCTTGTGAAATATGTCTAGATGTGACTTGGAAAAATAAACATATTCTTGTTTGAATGTAACTAATTTTTTAAAAAATATTTAAACAGTTGAACCTACTGTGAGCCTGATAAAAGGGCCAGATTCTTTAATTGATGGAGGAAATGAAACAGTAGCAGCCATTTGTATCGCAGCCACTGGAAAACCCGTTGCACGTATTGACTGGGAAGGTGATCTTGGTGAAATGGAATCCACTACAACTTCTTTTCCAAATGAAACAGCAACAATTGTCAGCCAGTACAAGCTATTTCCAACCAGATTTGCTAGAGGAAGACGAATTACTTGTGTTGTAAAACATCCAGCCTTGGAAAAGGACATCCGATATTCTTTCATATTAGACATACAGTGTAAGTAAATAGTAACATTTGCTTTTTATAATATTTTTCAGCATATTTATCAAACTTTTTAGTTTGAATATTTAATAGCTTTTCCTTGTTTTTGTTTCTCTTTTAGTTTTATGTTTTCATGGAAATTGTATTTAATCAAAGCATTTTAAATCATTTTTTTAAAGATGAACAGATGACTTTAAAGTTGCTCTCCAACTTAAGGTTGTCTAACTGTTTCCTCTTATGATCTTAAAAGTTGGCTGGACTTAGGGAGTTCTGGCAACTTGTACATCAAAATGTACAGTGCTTAAGGACAAACAACTTCTACATTATTCTTATTAATTGAGCTGTTATTCAGTTTGACTGATGCTCCCCATCTTATTTTCTTTTTTGAGATGGAGCCTTACTTTATCACCAGGCTGGAGTGCAGTGGTGCAATCCTGGCTCAGTGCAGCCTCTGCCTCCCTGCAGCCTCCACCTCCCAGGTTCAAGTGATTCTCCTGCCTCCCAAGTAGCTGGGACTTCAGGCTTGTGCCACCACGCCTAGCTAATTTTTGTATTTTTAGTAGAGATGGGGTTTCACCATATTGGCCAGGCTTGTCTTGAAGTCCTGACCTTGTGATCCACTGGCCTCGGCCTCCCAAAGTGCTGGGATTACAGGCATGAGCCACTGTGCCTGGTCTTGTTTTCTTTGACTTCTTTAGATACATATTAATTCGTTTTAAAATCTGTATTTTTCAATATTATTTCTAATCTTGTCTCATTGATCATGTTATAAGCATTTTTTTTAGGTAAAAAACAATATTTTAAAGACATAATTGGATAATAACCATTGTAGATACAGGTTCAAAGCTGAGCCACCTTGTTACTTGTATACTTTTGTTAAGGGATGCTTTCCTCTGTATGTGTTTATATATTCTTTTCTATCTACTTTTCCCCTTAAATAAAGTTTCTCAGTTTTTAATACATTCTTTGTGATTTGTATACCATTTAAACATTTGGAGTAGGAGAAAAGGTGATGGCTACAAATAGTTTATAGCAAGGATAATGAAAATTAGGCAGATTAGAGATAACATTAGGAAAAGTATTTGGGTTCTGCTTTTACTTCTATCCATGTGCAGATTGTAATCTAGGTGTTATTGAAGGAGTTGTTCTCTTTTTTGTTGTTGCTACTTACTTGCTTTTTGATATGACATGCATGGAATTTTAAATTACACAAATTCATTACTTTGGTGTAATGGTTTTTAAAACTAAGTCCCAGGATCTTTTTCAACATTTATAGGGTTAACTTGAAAAGCCATAGTTTACAAAATGTTACTCCCATTGCATTCTTAAATGTTAATACCGTCTTTTCTCAGTTCTTTGGAGAATTCTGTTAAAATTTTTCTTTTTCCTTCTCCTACCTTGCTTTGACAGAGTCTTAACTTTTTTCTTTTTCTCATAAAATTCAGATCTCAATTGTAAGTTAATATATTTTGTGTATGCATATGTGTTTTCAGTGTCTAATAATGACTGATATATTCATAAATTTGTATTTTTTTGTTTGCTTGAATGAAATCTTAGATATATGAAGTATTTCTTCTTAAGTGTTTATAACATGGTTTTGATTTATTGACTTGCCCCTAAAATGTTTTTGAATAGTCATGATTTTTTTCCTTCTGTAAATTAGAGACCTATAAAACATGTAAACAAACTTAAATATTGTCTTATATCACAAAAACATATACCTCAAAATTTAGAGATATCCTTTTGGGATACTTTAATGCCTTTTTTAAACTTTGCTTTCCAATAGGACAGTCTTCCCTAGCAGAGGTAAAGACTGACCTGGTCTCTCTCTAGCTTCTTATCAGATCATGTGCTGCTAAGTTAGGTTTCTATGTAGCTCACAGAAAGATAGTCTCTGCCTCATACATAAGTAACACCTCTGTAGGGAAGCCTTTTATCACCTCATCCGCCCCGTCCCCAATGTAAATTAGGCCTTTCTTCTTATCTTCTCTCATAGCAGCCTGTTCTTTTTCTTCTTGGCCCTCATAGAGTTTTAGTTAAATGTATTTTTAAATGTCATCTTCCCTATTACTATTAGAATGTAAATTTTATGTATCTGAGTCTGTATGTATACCAAACACCTAAAAGAGTATATTATTTCTAAGTGCCATGCCTGGCACTTATAAGGAGCTAAACAGAATGATGGTTGAATGAATGATAGGTATTGGACTTAATAGTTTGGAGATACATATTTATATTGCTGATAGATACAGATAATTGCTCATTCAACTAGTTATGACCTTTGGGTACATGGAATGCATAAAACTTTGTTTTAGTACATTTGAGGCCCTAGATAATTTACTTTAGTTGTAAGTATGTAGTCATAGAAAGCCTGTTTTTTTAACATGACCCCAAAGTACTAATTGTAACATAGGGACTCTAATCTCTGTAATTGACCTGTTATCTCTTAGAGGATATTTCCTTTTAGATTAAACATCTCTTTAAAAACTTGTTTTATATGGTGAGTTGGTACTACATGGTACTTAAATGCCATGTCTTATTTAATTAAATACTATAACATATTTGCTTTGTCCTGTATCTCTGTATCTCACATAATAGGATTCTTTTATTTTGCTTTTGGTGATTATAGGTTTATGAATATTCTTTAACATTTAGCATGTCTAATTACTCAAACTGTATGTATTATAATTACCCATTTGGGGGTACTCATTCTTCATTCATTTCATTCTTTCAGCCAGCCAATGCTTTTGGAGTAGTGTCTTCCATATAGATTATATATGTTGAGATTAAGGAAAAATGATTCCTGTTACAAGGCTTAATCTATTGTGTTAATAGATGTGTTACCATGTATATTGCATTTATCATTAACAAAAGATAATCTGTCCTGTCATGCATTTATTTTATAGATGCTCCTGAAGTTTCGGTAACAGGTTATGATGGAAATTGGTTTGTAGGAAGAAGAGGTGTTAATCTCAAATGTAATGCTGATGCAAATCCACCACCATTCAAATCTGTGTGGAGCAGGTATGTTATATACTTTAAAAGTAAATTATCTAAAAGTGAAACGTTCTTAAATCCACGTTCAAAATGGTTTTTATCTATATAATACATGATTATAGTAATAGCAGAAAATTTTAATTACTTTGTCTTCTCTTGTCCTACCTGTCCCCATTTTCCTACCCCCTCAGTTCTGTTCTTCAGAGGCTACTTTAGCAATTTTAGCAGTTTCTTATGGTTAGTTACAATCAGAGGCCTTAAGCTGCTACTTCTTAATACTTTTTAACATTGACTGTTGACTTCTTAGTTAGATAAATAATTATAATTTTATGTCTACTCCTTTATTCACAAACACGTCCCTATACAAACATTTTTTTTCCTTTTTTTTTTTTTTTTGACACGTGCGTCTTGTTGGTACCATCCCCTCCCTCTTCCCACCCCTGCTGCCCAACCAAGACCCCTCTATTCCCACCACCACCCTGCAGCTGTTGCCCTTCTGCAGGCCCCCAATACCAACCCCCCATTGCCCTCCCTTCTCTTCCTTTCCCTCCCCCATAACCCTTCCCCAGGCTCCTCCCACCTCAGAATACTTTTTTTGTTCCTAAGTTTATCATGTGAAGTAGGGGTGGGGGGACTGGTTAGATGGAGAGGATGCTCTGCCGTTCGGAGGTCCTACTGAGTGGGCACACCTTTTCCCCCTCGAGAAAACCCTGTTTCTACCAGAGAAATGGGCAGAGGCCTCTCCCTGGAACTTGAACCCCTTTGTCTCTGTAAACATCCCAAAGCAGGCCCAGCCTGCCATGTTCCTTTGTTGGAGCACAGAGGGAATGGAATCTTACCAATAAGGTGAGAAGAGCTTGAGAGAATACCAAGTGAGAAGAGCTTGAGAGAATACCAAGGACGGGCCCACCCTTCTCTCTCCTCCCTCCAAACACCTCAGGCTAAAAGGGGAGAAAAAAAAAAAAGCACCAACAAAGAGTTTAAGACAGCAATTCCCAGCTTTTTCAAATATGAAGCATTTTTTAACCAATCCGTTTTTTTAATTCTTAAATTCTTGTACAGAACTAAACTGGAATTTATTAACATTCCACTCTTAAATTTCTTATCGACAAACAAGAAATAAAATTCATGAGCCAAAAAACCCAAAACAAAACTAAAAACAGGGAAAAGCTTATAAAACTAAATACAAACATTTCTACCTTTCATAGTCCACATGAACTTTTAGCTACTTTTGGTTAATTAAATGCAGTAATCACTGTTTGCCTCTCTAGGACAGGTAAATGTTACTAAGAGCTAAATAATATACCAGACTTCTGTTTTCTCTTCTCTATAGCCGTTTGTTTTCCCTATGGCTAATATTTGCCTCTTTACTTGTGTAGTTACTATGTGCATAATTTTCTTTCTATGAAATTTCAAACTGTTACACTAAGGTTTTTATTCATATTTTGTCAGTATTTAGGGCCCATTTTGATTTTCAGGTGAGTTTCTATCAACTTGAATAATTTTCTTATTTTTTGGTCATTTCCTTATTTTTTTTTTGAAGGAAAATTTGTATTGTTTTAATTATTTTTATGTACAGAAAACTCAACAGTGTACATTTAACCTAGTTTCATGGCAAGTTCTTTAGCCTTTACCTTTTTGAGCTTGGCGATGCGAGCCACAGACTTGGGACCCAGGACACTGCCTCCCCAGTGACGGCAGATCTCATCATATCTGTCATTGTACTTGGTGTGGATAGCTTCCACCAGCTTAGCCAAAGCACCTTTGTCTTCCGAGTTCACCTGTGTGAAGGCGACAGTGGTGCAGGTCTGTGGACTAGACGTCCCCAGTTTTGCCTTCCCCTTGATAATGCAGTAAGGGACTTCCATTTTACGACACAGGGCAGGCGAGAAGACAACCAGCTCAATGGGATCCACGTCATATGCTATCACCACCAGCTGAGCTTTCTTGTTCTTTACCAAGGTGGTGACAGTGTTAACTCCTGCTCAAAGGACAGGTGGTCTCTTAGTGGGGACGTCCCCTTTGCCTGCCGCTTTCTTCTCGGCCCCGGCCAACAGCCTCTGCTTCTTCTCTTGCTTTGTCTCTGGTCTATACTTGTGGGCCAGCTTAAGCAGCTGAGTAGCTGTTTGGCCGTCCAGGGCCTGGGTGAACTGGTTAATTGCAGAAGGCACTTTCAGCCGCTTATAGAGGATGGCTCTCTGCTGCTGCAACCCGATATAGCGGGGCCATTTCACAAAGCGGGTGAGGTCTCTTTTGGGCTGGATGTCCTGTCCAATACCAAAATTCTTAGGCCTTTTCTCAAACAGGGTTTCACCACTTTCTTGGCCTTCTGCTTCTTCATGACAGCAGGGGCCGGAGCCACCTCCTTCCCCTTGGCCTTCTTTCCTTTCAGCATCTTGGGTGGTAGGAGGAGAGCTCCTTTTTTTTGTTTTTGTTTTTGTTTTTTAATTCCTGTTCACTCTTTTTAGAACTCCTATTTATTGTATAATAAATATTCTTTTTAAATATATTTTCAGATGATCTTACTGTTCTTCCTAGAAGATTTGCTTGATTTAAAAAAGAAATTTCCATTGACTTGATACAAAAAATTTGTTTTGCCTATTTTCAGTTTGTAAGAGCATCTTCTCATGAGAATATTCTTTATTCTCATTGAATATTCTTTTTTTTTTTTTTTTTTGAGACGGAGTTTCGCTGTTGTTACCCAGGCTGGAGTGCAATGGCACAATCTTGGCTCACCGCAACCTCCGCCTCCTGGGTTCAAGCAATTCTCCTGCCTCAGCCTCCCAAGTAGCTGGGATTACAGGTGTGCACCACCATGCCCGGCTAATTTTTGTATTTTTAGTAGAGACGGGGTTTCACCTTGCTGACCAAGATGGTCTCGATCTCTTGACCTCGTGATCCACCCGCCTCGGCCTCCCAAAGTGCTGGGATTACAGGCGTGAGCCACCGCGCCCGGCTGAATATTCTTTAGAGCAGGCGTCCCTAAACTTTTTACACAGGGGGCCGTTTCACTGTCCCTCAGACCATTGGAGGGCCGCCACATACTGTGCTACTCTCACTGACCACCAATGAAAGAGGTGCTCCTTCCTGAAGTGTGGCAGGGGGTCGGATAAATGGCCTCAGGGGGCCACACGCGGCCCGCGGGCTGTAGTTTGGGGACGCCTGCTTTAGAGAACGAAAAGATGCTCTTATAAACTGAAAATAGGCCAACAATAAAAATGTTATTTTTATAGCACCTTTTTCTTGTTTCATGAGTGTAATATCTTTCTTGTTATTCCTGGGGATACTACAGTTATTTCTTCCCCAGAGAGTTTTTTTCTGCTTCCTCCATACTGTCTCTTTTCCCTCCAAGCTCTTTGGTTTTTTGGTTTGGTCTTTCATTGTGTACAGATCTCTTAATCTTGTTGGTTGTCTCATCTTTCACAGTGAAGCATTAAAATAAAATGCTTAGTGGATGCTCTTTCTGTGATGGGGATTGCTCATTATGAGTCCACTTAGAGTGATCAGATAGAGATGTGATTATTTTTATTTTCCTGTGGAGGCTCCAGATATCACTAATAGAAGAGTGTAAGTCTTTACTTCATGGCCAGTTTATTTCTAGAATTAACCTGCATTTTATTTGCCTGAGAGATAAATGTCTGCTTTTGTACAGAGTCGGGAGGAATCTATTGTTTTGTTATGTATCTTTTAACTAGCTCTTGGCCTCCTTCTAGTCTTCTAAGGTAGAGTGAGTCAAACTCCAAATTTTTTTTTTTTTGATTATTTAACCAAATTGTCTGCTTTCTCATCCATGTGCCTTTTGTAAGCAACTCATCTTAAAGTAAAACTTTTCAATATTGGCACTACTGATATTTTAGGCTGATACTTCTTTTTTGTAGTGGGCAGTCCTATGAACTGTAGACTATTTAGAACCATCCCTGGGTTGAGAAACACTGACCTCTAAGGCATATATTGTTTTTAAATTTATTTTCTATCTTCTGAAAGTTTGTGGAATCATCTTGTCTGTTGAATTCATAAGGCATATATTGTTTTTAAATCTACTTTCTGACTTCTGAAAGTTTGTTGAAACATCTTGTCTGTTGAATTCTGCCTCCTGTTTTCTTTTCTCCTCTAGGGTTTTTAATAACTTTGTAATTTCTGAACTCTTTCGGGTGAGATTTTATGGGAATTAGGAAGCACTATATCTGGTCAATTGGTTGTCTTTAAGCATAAATACAATTTTAAAAGTAGAGAAAACCTTTTTCATTTTCTTTTTTTTTAAATGGGAAGCAGTCATTAGTTAAGATGTTTATTTGATAGAGTATTTTTTAAAGCAATACAATTCTGGATTCTCATTCCAGTAACTAAACTTACAGATGTCTTTTTTGAGTAAGTCGTTTACTTTTAATCCTAAATTTCCTTGCCAATAACAGTACTTCACTGAGTTTTTTTAAGGGTACAGACAGTGAATATAAGTCATGTAATGTAGATATAAGGGCATTAGAATATGCTTTTGTTGTAGGTTTAATGTGATATTTAGATATTTCCAACTCTGTGTCATTTTACAACTTCTCGAAGAATTAAAGGGATTAGAAGGTTGAGCCCAAAGTACAAAGGTAATTGTTAAGACATATATCGTTCATTTTCATTGTTATCCTTATAGAAAGAGTTTACCTTTTGAAAGCCGATACTTCCAAAAATTTTCTTTCCAAAGCCCTCAAAAGAAAAGGTTGGGTGCTTTTGTTTTCATTTTTTAAACCATGTAAGCATATTACCTTTATCCTCAGTGCTAAATTAAAGTGCTACCAACTCCAAAAGATTTTACGGATTATTTTTCCACTCACTACACTTGAGATTGCAAAACAAAATTATTCTATCTGTTCTTCAGTGTTGATTTACTTCTTTCCACCTTTTTATTGTTGTTTGTTCTTATTCCCTGTGTAATAAGTTGTCGATCTTCTATGTACTTACATTGTTGAAAATAGAGACTATGTTTTATTTGCTTCCATATCTCAGCACCACCAGCAGAGTGGAGTATGGCAAATAGTGGGCTGCTAGTAATTGAATGAAGGAATAAGTGGATAAACTTTTTGAAAATCTACTTAGCCTAAACTGTAGTAGTTGAGCCCCTGGGTTTACTTGACTTTTTAACCTTCTTATCTTTTACTTATTTATTTTTTGAGACAGAGTCTTACCCTGTCATCCAGGCTGGAATATAGTGGTGCACTGTTGCCTCACACAGCCTCTGCCTCCAGGGTTCAAATGATTGTCCTGGCACAGCATCCTGAGTAGCTGGGATTACAGGCACTCGCCACTATGCCCAACTAATTCTTGTTTTTTTAGTCGAGATGTGGTTTTACCATGTTGGCCAGGCTGGTCTCGAACTCCTGACCTCAAGTGATATGCCTACCAAGTGATATGCCTACCTCTCAAAGTGCTGGGATTATAGGTGTGAGCCACTGTGCCTGGTCTTATCCTCTTATCTTGAAAACAAACAAACAAAATAACCTGTAAGCTTTAAAAACTGTGTGTGTGTGTGTGTGTGTGTGTGTGTGTGTGTGTGTGTTTTGGTACCCTCAAGTTAGAAAAGTGATTTTTAGCAGTATGCTTAGTTCCATTATAATGAATGGCTTTCGAGTTCTCATAGTGGGACTCTCTAAGGTTTACAGTAATAGGTATACTAGGTATAGGACCTCTTGGCCAAATCAGTGTAAATACTGTTGAAAGGAGTTATTATTGACACCAAATGGTGTCTTGCTTTTTATTGTCACAGATGCCCACCTTACAAATGAAATTATTTTATAAGAAGACCCATTTTGCTGCTTTAGACGCTATCTTTGATGGAACACAGTGTCTATTTGTATTAGCATTAAATGATATTCTGTAAATATGTTATAGAGGGTGCTAAAACATTATTACATATTTAAGTGAGATGACTTCATTAAGATGATTGTAGATATGTCATAAATGATTCAGTGAGAATTTTAAGTTATCTGATATTGTATGTATGTATGTATATATGTTATCTTCAAATAATATATTTTTCCAACTTCCAGTTTTCTGAATAAATTTTTTAAAATATTTTTTCTCTGCTTTTCTCCCATTTTATTATGTTGGCATAGCAACTCTTACATGGACTGCTATTTTGGAAGAATGGATGTTCTTAATGGCCTTTTTTAGTTCATCTTTATTAAAATGAAAATTTGTTACTTTTTGTATACTTTCTTGGTGAATTTTGTATAAAAGATACTTTTTTGACTAACATCTCAAATCGTTTAATGTCTCATTTTAACTAGTTGTCAATAAATGTAGTCTGAAGATATTTAAAATAATTTTATGCATTTTAAAATCTAGATTGGATGGACAGTGGCCTGATGGTTTATTAGCTTCAGACAATACTCTTCATTTTGTTCAACCATTGACTTTCAATTACTCTGGTGTTTATATCTGTAAAGTGACCAATTCCCTTGGTCAAAGAAGTGACCAAAAAGTCATCTACATTTCAGGTAAGTAACTATCTGCTTGCAAAATACGCTATTTAAAATATTTCTGAATAATCATCATAACAGTATGATCCTAAGCAATAATTTTTACATGCAAAGACATAGATTCCTCAGTGAGAAGTTTTTCCAAATACCCTAAAAGGAATATGATAAAATCACCCTATCCTGAGATAGGTATGTAATGTGGCATCCTACATTGAAATGTCAAAATATCTATGCAACAAGTTTGTATACATTTTGATGCCTGTACATATAGTTAATTTTTTATTTCAACAGTATTGACTATTTAATAAATAGTATGACTTCTAGATTCTTTTATCCTTATACTAAGAACAAATAATGATATTTTTTTCTTTTCCTTTGATGGCCAGTTTATACACAGTTGTCTGGTAAATAAAATGGAATATTAAATTTGATGACTTGGCTTGTTAAATAACACTGTTTGCCACTTAATATGGGACTATACCATATTGTGTTACTGAGAGGTGAAATAGGTATGCTACTGAAAATGTGTTAATGAAATAAAATTTATGATGCTTCTTATTGTCCTTAAACCACTAACAGCTTAGATTTTTCACATTCCGTTTGTTTCATTGTGAATATTTTTATTAATTTGGCTGAGTGTAAATTTGATCATTCATAAAATATATAGAGAGCTAAAAGTACATTTTTTTCCTGGTTGTGGCTTCAGGTAATAAATTATCAATAGAATGCTTATTTTAAAAAATTCAATAAAATATTTTGAGCATCTTCCTCCTTACTGATTGCAAGAATATAGCAATCTTCCTGTCAAACAAATGGAAAATTAAGATGGAAAAGGAAGAGAGCCTAAAAAATGCAGGTTTGTATGGTAATTATGGAATAAACAGTTAAAGAGTTTTAGCTTTGTTCAAATCTAAAACTAGATAAATTAGAGGTTTTGGAGAAATTTTGTGTTTGCTTAAGTGTTACATTCTTAGTCCTTGTGTGATCAATCTAAGAACAGTACCACATGTTATTTTCTTATAGCAGGCACCACAAATGTTTAGTTGTATATTCATTTCTTTACTTTCTATTTACCTTCACAATTTAGCAATTTGTGCTTGCTTTATTTACCACTGCATACTCAGGAATGAGCACTGTGCCTAGCACATGATAGAAGTGTAAACTTTTGTGTTTTTTTTTTTTTTTTTGCATGACTCTAGCAAAAAGCTTAGAGCTGCACTATCCCTTTCTGCCAGTATCAGTGCTTTCGTGAAAATTTGTTTGTATTTTTTTTTCTTTTGAGACATGGTTTCACTCTGTCACCCAGGCTGGAATGAGTGATGTGATCTTGGCTCACTGCAAGCTCTGCCTCCCAAACTCAAGCAATCCTCCCACCTCAGCCTCCAGTAGCTGAGATTACAGGTGTGCACCATCACCCTTAGCTAATTTTTGTATTTTTTTGTAGAGACACGGTCTCACTATATTGTCCAGGCTGGTCTTGAACCTCCTGAGCTCAAGTGATCTTGCCCACCTCAGCCTCCTAAAGTGCTGGGATTAGAAGCATGAGCCACTGTGCCTGGCTGAAAATCTGAGTGAGGTTACATACTAGTACATTAGTCTCTCTTTCTTTAGTTAAAGAATAAGCCATGGAAATGCACATTTAAAATATACTTAAGAACTGTTTATTTTGTGTTTCTGTTGTACAGTTTGGTGTGGGATATTACTTGTAAACATTAGGCTCAATATGTCTCTGTAATCATTTAAATAGCAAGGCTTAGCTGGGCATGGTGGTTCACACCTGTAATTCCAGCACTTTGGGAAGCAGAGGTGGGCATATCACCTGAGGTCAGCGGTTTGCAATCAGCCTGGCCACCATGGTATGAAACCCTGTCTCTACTAAAAATATAAAAATTAGCCAGCATGGTGGTGCGTGCCTCTGATCCCAGCTACTCTGGAGTCTGAGGCAGGAGAATCACTTGAACCTGGGAGGCAGAGGTTGCAGTGAGTTCAGATTGTGCCATAGATGACAGAGTGAAACTCTGTCTCAAAAAAAAATAAAAATTAAAATTAATAAATATCAAGGCTCATTTTGGTTGCTCTTATATATACTGATTTCATTGATGATATCCTGTTTTTATACTCGGTTAGCATTCTGAGTTCAGTGTTCAGTACTCCTAACTTGTGCATCCAATTACCTGTTAATGATCATTAACTCTATGTGGTAGTCTGATAGGTATTTGCAACTTAATATATTCAAAGCTGAGGTCCTGATCTTTCTACTATTCCGTGATACCACACATATTTCTGTATCTGTCTTCCTTCTTTCAGTTACTGATCCTTCTTTCCTTACATTTGTTCAGGGTACAACCCTTGACAGTTACTCTTGATTTTGCTTTTTCTCTCAAACCCTATTGAATTCATTAACAAATCAATGCTAGCTCTTCCATTATGTTAAATACAGAATCTTAACCAGTTCAACTCTTCTACTACTACACTAGTCTAAGCCATAGCCACTCTAACTTCACTATTACAGTAACCATTTAATCTCCCTACTTTGCCTCTGTCCCCCTTCCCTTTGTCAGCAAATGAGCAGCTAGGATGGTTATTTAAAAGGGTGGATTAGATCATGTCTCCTCTCCACCAAACCTTCCATGGGCTTCCCATTTTACTCACAATGAAAACCGTATCTTTATAGTGACTCACAAGGCTGTATACATGCCCTCCTCCCAGATGATCTCTCTAATCTCATTTCTTACTATGTTTTGCTCATTGGCTGAGGCACTACTGGACTCCTTGCTGTTCTTCAAACATAACAGGCACATTCCTACCTCAGAGTCTTTTGCATTTGCTATTTTCACTGCCTGGAATGCTTTTACCAGGTATCATCATAGCTCTTTCCCTCACTTCTTAAGGCCTTCGCCTTCACGTTTTTCAGTGAGGTCTTCCTTCACTACTATATTTGAAATAAAGTAACCTCCCTTCCCACCCCTTTACTACTACTGGTCCCCCTTCTTTTTCTCTTCAGTACATATTGCCATGTCACCGCATGTATTGCCATATAAATATGTAAAGTATTTACATATTTTATTGTTTTTATATGCTTGTCTGTTTTTACATTCATTAGAACATAAATCTAAACATAAAGTCTGCTTTAATTACTGCTATGTTCCCATTATCTACAATGATGTTTAGCATATGATAGGCATTCTTCAGTATAGTTTTGTTACATGAATGAATAAATTTGAGACTAAAACAATTGGGAATCAATTTACAAATCCAGAATCTGATTTTATGTAACTATAACTCTTTAAAAAGGGAGATCAAATTTTGAGTAAATATGGACAAAAATCACAGTTTATGCACTTTCAAATAAGTAGCGTTATTAGAGAAAATTCCTTTTTTGTAATGGAGATAGAGCCTTGCTCTGTTGACCAGACTGGAATGCAGAGGCATGATCTCGGCTCACTGCAACCTTACCTCCTGGGTTCAAGCAGCTTTTCTGCCTCAGCGTCCTGAGTAGCTGGGACTACAGGCACACGACGCCACGCCTATCTAATTTTTTGTATTTTAGTAGAGACGGCATTTCACTGTGTGGCCCAGGCTGGTGTCAAACTCCTAAGCTCAGTCAATCCTCCTGCCTTGGCCTCCTAGAGTGCTAGGATTATAGGAGTTAGCCAGGGCACCCCTCCGAGAATGTTTTATGTTTAAGTAATCAGTAATGAGACTTGACTTTTCTATCCAGAGTATGTAATACAGTATACCATGCTGAGATTAGTTAAGTCATTTAATAACTGGTTGGAGTATGTCAAGTATCTTAGATATAATGCTGCCTTTCCAGAATGACTGTTTAGTAAAACCTAGTAGTCTTTTATGAAAATAAGAAGCCATAATTCATACAGTAAATGACCAGTTAATCTTTTTCATTGTTACATGTACGCATTTTTTCTAGGCAAAAAATTTTTACCTCAGTATTAAAATAGATATTTTAAAATTTGAGAAATAATTTTTAATATGTGTAAAATAACTGCATCGTAGGACTAGAGATGAAAAGTTCTGCTCAGAACAGAGTAAGCAACTCTGAGGGAAATTGTTCTTAATTTTGTTACACAATTTTCCCACATTGATAAAGATATTGGTAAGAGGTTTCTGATTCAGGATTGCAATATTTGATTTTAGTTATCAAATTGTACTTTATTATAGTAATATTCTCAAGGGGTATAGAAGCTCTTTGTCTAGTACTTACTGACTACTGGAAATTGTGTTTTTCTGGTTCGCTATTAATGTATATTTTCCCCTTAACTGATAGCTGTTACTTCAGTGTGTCAAATAAGTCTCCCTATGCCTAAAACCCTTATTTCTGTGCAAAACTTGAATTTCAGGTCATATGGATTTTAGGATTCAAGTGTAGTATCAAACTTAAGAATTTGCTACTTAGCAATCCTTAAACATTAAAATACATTATTTTTTATATTTAAACAACCTATATAAAGTCTAAAAGAAAAATAAGCCAATTTTTATGACACTAAAAATATACCTTAGAAGACTAAAATATGCCTTTTACGGGGCATTACTTGGCTCCATTTTATGGTTTGGCAGAACTCATTAGAAAAGGAAACAAAGTTCTTCATTTGGGTGAGAACTTAAGAGTCGTCATATCCATTACATACTCATTTATCACATAGCAAAGAATGTGAAAAACTGTATCTAACTGAAAAATGAGGACTGCTTTGGGAAGGACTTAAAATCGTTATGTGATTAGAAATAGTATAATAATTGCCTTATAATAATTGTGACTCTCATTGTTTTTTGTTTTTTCTTGCTTTTTTTAATTTTAATTTTTATTTTTTGAGACGGTGTCTTGCACTGTCGCCCAGGCTGGAGTACAGCGGCACAATCTCAGCTCACTGCAACCTCCGCCTCCTGGGTTCAAGCCATTGTCCTGCCTCAGCCTCCCTAGTAGCTGGGACTACTGGCGTGCACCACCACGCCTGGCTCGTGACTCTCATTGTAAATTCGAAAACCGAAAACATATTTTCCATGTATGATCATATTTCCATTCCTTAAAATGCAACATGATGAAGTATTAAATAGCCTCTCTTTAATGAATTGATATTACTAGTGAGGCTCAGCTATTTTTAGCACTGATTAAGAAGTGGGATGATGGGTTGAAACATTTCTAGAACCATTAACAAGATTAGATAAGATTTTAAAATAATTTTTTTTGGTTAGATTTTTCTCAAAGCCATATTTTGTTAAATCTGAGTGAAATGGACAATAGACGACCATTTGTGTTCATATAAAGAAATTTGCAAGTGGAAATAATAAATGTCAGAGTTTCATTATTTAGAATACTTGTTTAAAATGTTCAGTTTTGTCTTATTTGGTGAGAGCTCAGGTATAGTCACTGTTCTGAAAAAACTCTCATATAAAGAACCACAAAAAACTTTAAAACTTTACTGGCAGAAAACTATTTAAATTATAAATAATTAGATGATTTTTACTTTTATTTATGCTGATACAGGTTTATTGTAGTATTTTTTTCTTTGAAAATCGTTATAAAGATGACATTTAATACATTAAACTCAACTTTCCTGGTTGGTACTCCTGCTTCCTCAGAAAATACATGAAGTGTCTTACAAATGATCTAATTTTTAGTCTATATTTTTAGTTTTCTAATGCTGTGAAGTTGAATTACATGAGACTTTACTACTTTTATACTGGACATGGTCCTTCAATTCTACACTTGTTTTCTTGAGATTGAATTTGTTCCATTAGTAAATGTTTTCATAAATTAAAACGTCCTTGATTCACCTAAGCATACTCTGATAACTAATTTTCATCTCAAAGTACTTGACAGGATTACCTGTTATAAGTTTAAACTCATAGAAAATTAGTTATACTGTACTTATTAAATTTTATACTATACTCGCTAAATTTTTACCACATTCTATACATACGGCATTCCGTGATGAAACCTGTTTCAGTAAGTACTTTTCTTTAGCTTGTAATATTAGAATAACTTACCCCATGTAGATTTAGTATTTTTCTAACATTCATTTTTTAAAGCTCTATCAGTATCATTCATTCAAAAATTAATTCTAGGAGATTACCATTTGGGTCATTTATTTTTTTCACTGTGAAGAAATTCAAGATATTTAAACTTATCCTCTCTTCAAACACTGCAATTTTGTGTTACATGACCTATAAATACTACTTAATTGATAATTAACCAGTCTTTATTTTTTATTGTTTATGTTTAGTTGCTTTTTAATATTAATGGCTATTTACTCTATAATCTAATGTCAATACACAGGTTCATTTGCATCTAATATTTAAGTACTATTAGAATGTTCTCTCTAAAATATTAGCTGCTCTTTTTGAGATTCTGTCCTAAAGTAGTGACATTAAATTTTGCCGATATAGTTGAAATTTTTAAATTTCTGAATGTTTAGATAATTTGCCCATGGGATGTTAGACATGATGACGACGTTTTTATCACTTTACAACATATTTTTACTTTGTTAGTCTCCTTTGATAATAGCCTGTCTGGCTAACATAGTTTAAACACATGCTTCTTTATTTTTTTTTATTACTAAATAATAGTATTTACTATATATCTCCTTCTAAAATGTTTTGAGTTTTTTAATATTTTTATTTAAAGAAAATATTTTTGAGAGAATTATTAAACCAACAGCTTATACTGTGCCCACTTAACAAGAGTCTATAGTTTTTCATTCTTTTAAAGATACACTCATATCTTATAAAAATAAACCATATTATTCATAGGTAAAAATGTATACCAAGAAAAACTTTAATTTTTTCATTCATTTTATTTTCTTGAGCTACTGGCTAAGAAAATATACATTTGACTTATTTGATTTACTTTTTTGTTATAGTAATTATTAAGCTATCTGTGTAATAGGACACAAGTAATACTCTTTATTAAAAAAATAAGTACCTATTTTCTGGGGTAAATTATCACTCGTTAACTTGGAATAGAAGAATTACACCATAGGTTTACTCCATAGGTTTTATTCCTTTCTCTTTATTGGTAACTGACTAAATGTCAGTTTTGTTTTGTTTTTAAATAGATAAGTACCACTACATTCTAATCTTAATCAAATTAAGAATGAAAAACTATTATTACTATGAATATATTCATTAACTGTGCTGTCTTGTCAACTTGCTGCTGAATCAGCCTGCATTGACATTCTTTGCCTTTCTGTGTCTTCTCTATCTTTACTGTTTCCATTAGATCCTCCTACTACTACCACCCTTCAGCCTACAATTCAGTGGCATCCCTCAACTGCTGACATCGAGAATCTAGCAACAGAACCTAAAAAATTGCCCTTCCCATTGTCAACTTTGGCAACAATTAAGGATGACACAATTGCCACGATCATTGCTAGTGTAGTGGGTGGGATTCTCTTCATAGTACTTGTAAGTGTTTTGGCTGGAATATTCTGCTATAGGAGAAGACGGACGTTTCGTGGAGACTACTTTGCCAAGAACTACATTCCACCATCAGATATGCAAAAAGAATCACAGATAGATGTTCTTCAGCAAGATGAGCTTGATTCTTACCCAGACAGTGTAAAAAAAGAAAACAAAAATCCAGTGAACAATCTGATACGTAAAGACTATTTAGAAGAGCCTGAAAAAACTCAGTGGAACAATGTAGAAAATCTCAATAGGTTTGAAAGACCAATGGATTATTATGAAGATCTAAAAATGGGAATGAAGTTCGTCAGTGATGAACATTATGACGAAAATGAAGATGACTTAGTTTCACATGTAGATGGTTCCGTAATTTCCAGGAGGGAGTGGTATGTTTAGCAACCACTAAATGTGACTTAACTATGTACAATGTTCATTCATACTAGTTGATCATTTTCAGATTGTTCATACTTTTTCTTGAGGAAGAATAAGCTTTTTCAAGTTGATTTTCAAGCTTTTTATATTCTAATCTGACAAATGAAAATGTAAAATCTGAGTTCAGTGTATCTAAGCTGCTTTACAATTTTTTTTCAATGCTGTACTACTGTCTCAAGATTTAAATTTTAATGCAGAGTACTTTATTGATCTGAGGCACACAGGTAAGAAGAAATGTCAACATTAAATGTATGAGTTATTTGGTACAAAAATTTAAAAAAAAAAAGGGAACTACCTTGGCATTGTGTATTAAATGTTTACCTAAGACTATAATCTCAAGTATAATGTTTGTTTAACATATACCTCTCAAAATTTATTACCACTCAATGACACTGCATCAAAATTGACTATAAAAGTAATTCAAGAAATATTTATATATATATTTTAATATACAAAAAGTATTTAGCCTGATGGAATGGCTTTCCTTTTCAAACATTATTTTCTGAATTTCTATACAAAGGAAATCTTTACCTCTGCATTTTAATGAGCCTTGCCATAATTACTGTAGAGTGGCTTTTAAAAGGTATTTTGTTGCACTAAAACTGTGGTAGTAAACTCAGTGAACATGATGTGTGGAAGAGCATAATTAGTTGGTCAATATTTTTGTCCAAAATACTTACAAGAGTAATAAAATACATGTCTTTCAAACATGATAATTAGTTTTTTTTTCCCCTTTCTGAGAAACAGTTCTTACTTTGTCATGTGACCATGGATTTTGGTACATTTGGCAGTAGCCTTATTTTAATGCTTTATCTCCTAAACATACTAATAGAAATGAAAAGATGCCGCAAGGGCATTTCAGAATATTGAGGTACTAGTTTTAGAAATGAGACATTACAGCCAAGAATCTATCGAAAGACTTTTCTGGACCATCTTGTTTTAGTTATTTAATGTTAATGTTGTTTAAACGGGTAAATGCACAGAAAGAAAATTTAGAATAAACTTGGAAACATTGGGTTTAACTACAAAAATTTAAATTATAGAATCAGTTGGTAACACTTGCTGATAGATAATGACATTCATCTCCTTTTTTCTCCTAAGTGTATGTTATGTATTTTAAGTTTTTTGTTTTTGCAATTAAAACTGGAAACACGAGGTTTTCTGTTTTTGTTTTTTTACGTATTACATATTCCTTCAGAATCATGTATGTTTTGAGATAGAAATGTTACCTATTCTTCAAATGTGCTTTTTGTTTGTAAGGTAATTAAATTGCTCCTAAAGTGGAGTCTTATAAAATTATATAATGACAACTATTTTGAAGCCTAAAGAATAAGTTTTTCTATTGATAAGTCATTTGAAAAAGTGACTATTTTCTCAGTGCAATGAAGTTGACGTTAGTAGGAGAGTCATAAATTAAATATATTATTTAGTTAATAAAAAGGCAAAGTAGTAGATACCTTTTAACACCCCCCACCCCCACCCAGCCCTTTTCCAATAATCATCAAATCTAAAAAATTTAGGGGGCAAAACTCTTAACATGTTCATAGTATCTTGCAAATAGTGAAAGCTTTATTCTGAAGGATTAGAAACTAGTTTTCTTCATTTTAACTAGCACTATTTTGTGGAAATTAGAAACCTATTTTATTTCTCTTCCCAAATACTTAGTATAAGACTATAGGATCAGGCTAAGGATACAGTTAAATAAAAGTTCACTTATATCTTCTTAAAAATGTCTGGGTTTTAATAGGGTTAATCACTTATATACAGATACTACAAATTTTTAGTGCAAGATTTTGGAAGAAAACTTCCTTGATAAAACACTGTGATTAAAATGACTTTATTTTTCATTTAAGTTTCAGTGATGAGGTGGCCCCAAGGAAGATGGGTCTAAAATTTCTTACCATGAAAGATGTAAAACTGTGGCTTTTTTCAAAATCAAAATTTCATCTTTAAAATATAATGGTTTGAAATACTGTATGAATCTGATCAGAATAATCATATTTAGGATTCTATGTAAATCTCAACTGAAGTATAATCTGAAGCACATTAGCAATGTATTTTAAGAAATATATTTCAAAAATATAAATACTTACTGATTATAAACTTTCTTTTACATTGTGGTTATGTATTTGATTAGTTTTTTTGTTTTTGTGTGTGTGTGTGTGTGTGTGTGTGTTTTATGGTGGGAGAGGGTAACCTGGAAAACCACAAGTGAGTATTTGACGTATTCTGTATCCTTAATCCAATCATTTGGCAAACTGAAAGGTTTCTGCCTTGTTAAGAATCTGATACTAGGGCTTAAGACTTTGGGAAGCATTGCACTGTTGTCTATTAGAACTTTATGTATATTTACTGTATGTAGAAACTTGCTTGAAAACATGAATAGTCATTAAATAAACATTAAGTTAGTTTTTGAATACCATTGATATACATAGCTATTGACAGGTATACATAGAAATTCTGCTATCTTGGAAAAAAATGAAAGGATATTTGTACTATTTTCGGCCATATTTATGTTTCTTTCTTTCTTATGGTTTGAACTGGTTTTGCATTGTTGTAAATTCACTTGAGAGTTTTCTTTCATACAGGTTAAGAATATTTCAATAATATAATGAAGATGAATGCAAATCTTAACTTTTTCTGCCGTTTTTATTAAAATGCATTGAATCTAAAGTAGACTAGGGGTTAATTTTAAAAGTGATACTTGAGAAGTACTGTGCTTGATAGTTGAAAGATTTAGTATTTTATCATGTGCCTAATAGGGTTATTTGTTAAGTCTAATATTAGGAAACTTAAGGTTTTTCAGTAGTAAGTGTTACTTCTAATAGCCATATATAGGAAAGTTTTACAAGATAACCCATGGGTAACTATTTTGCATTAAGGAGTTGTAGGAATACAGTGTATAAGTACAGAAATTGAGAGAAATGTAGCCATTTTATATGTGAAAACATCTGATTTGTTTTTGATAAATACCACTAAAACACAGTGTATGAACAAGTAAGAAGTTGTTTATGTATGAAAGTAATCAATGTAAAATATAAAGAAAGAATAATTGGTACCCATTTTGAATTTTTAATTCTAATACGGGATTAGATTTGAGATTGAATTGTCTTTCCTGTCTACTTGTTAATTAGAAAATGCATCATTCATAAAAAGCTCCTTTCTCAAGTTTTTCATATATTGGGTTTGGATTTTAGTTTGTACCAGTGCTAAGTTTTGTTTTCTTTTGGTTTGGTGGATTTTTTTTTTTTTTTTTTTTTTAGCCAACCTATGTATTAGGTGTTAGCCCCAGTAGCCACACAAGAAATCTTTAAATAAAAGTTGCAAAAGTTCTTTAGAGGCATATTTCTGTAATAAGTTCATGGCTCTGTGTTACCTTCTTTGTCCTTATATTTACTGGTGTATGTGTGTATATATATGTGTGTGTTTGTATAATGGTCATTATATTTACTAAAGTGTGTGTGCGTGTGTGTGTGTGTGTGTAACCTAGTTCAGTTATCAAAATTTAATAATGTTTTGTGGGAATTAGAAACCTGTTTTCCTAAAACAAGACAGTAATATCAGGTTAAGGATAGTTGGCATGTAGGGCACTATAAAATATTTTTTTCCTTTTTTTGTGTGTGTGTGTGTGTGGTTGTTGGTTTATTTATTTTCAACTTTTAAGTTCAGAGGTGCATGTACAAGTTTGTTACACAGGTAACAGTGCCATGGTGGTTTGCTACACAAATCAACCAATTACCTAGGTATTAATTAGGCCCAGCATGCATTAGCTATTAAATTTGATTTTAATTAACCATTTAATTCCGAATCATGAATTAACATTCTCCATACTTATAAATTATCTTATCTCTGTAGCCTTAGCTGTTAAAACCCATTTTAGATGTTTTTACTATTACCTTGGCATAAGTCATATTTTATATATTGGCTTTCAGTTTGGAATTAACACATTTTATAAGGTATTTCTTAAGTTGCTATTTAGTGTTTTTTACTTATTACTTATTGTGAGCTACTTTGATTAGAAATGCCATTGCTGAAGGCCAGGCTTGGTGGCTTACGCCTGTAATCCCAGAACTTTGGGAGGCTGAGGCGGACAGATCACAAGCTCAGGAGTTTGAGATCAGCCTGACTAACATGACGAAATCCCATCTCTTACTAAAAATACAAAAACTAGCTGGGCGTGGTAGCATGCGCCTATAATCTCAGCTACTCAGGAGGCTGAAGCAGGAGAATCTCGAACCCAGAAGGTGGAGATTGCAGTGAGCCGAGATCACGCCATTGCATTCCAGCCTGGGCGACAGTGAGGCAGCCATTGCTTGGAATTATTTATAATTACCATGTGACGCATCACTTTGTTTCCTATTTCTGAAATTTTAAATTACATATTTGTTTCTAAACTGTTTTTGAGCAGGGTTTTTCTTTGATAATATACAGTTAGACTGGGTTGTTTTGTTCCCTTCTTGGTATCCTAATAAAAAATTCATGTATGAAATCGTCTTTGAGGGGTGTGCACAACAAACCAACTTTAGTTTTTAAAATTCTGTTTATATATTTGTTTTTTTCTGTTACAGTTTAGTCATCTGCTTTTTTATAAAGTACATATATACTTTAACTTGACTACTTTGACTTGAGTAGTGTTAGGTTTTTATCAAGACTTGAAACCAAACATTGTTTGCAAAAGCTTTTGCCTTGTATTCTCTTAGGTATCATTTGTTTTCTTGAACCTTGGTGACAGTTATGTTTATTTCAGTTAGAAGGCTAAAACATGATTCAATTTTGGGATATATCTTGTTTAATTTGCCTTTTAGTTAATAGCTGTTGTTTTTCTCTGGCCGGGTGCTAATGATGCTGATTGAAAGTGACCTTTTAGAGCAATAACTTTAAAAGGTAATTTTCAAAACCTGAGAATAGGTCAGAGCCTTATTTCCTTATATGCAAAATATTGCTACATAGACATGATATGCAAGTTGTACAGTCTCAGTTATGAGAAATGTCCCAGGGAAACCCTAATTGTAAAGCAACAGTTTTATCTAAAAGCCAAGGGCAGGATCTAGGCACCTTGGCCTCTCTTTAAAAAAAAAAAATAAAAACCCAAAACCCCACTTATTATGAAAAGTTACACAAAAACAGGACAGAATAATGAATTGGATCTCCGTGTACTAGCTTCAGTTATCAATTCCTGGTCAGTCTTATTTCATTTAGACCCTTACCTACATAATCTCTCCTGATGTTTCATCAGTAAATAAATCAGTATATAGCTCTAAAAGTTAAGGACCAGTTAAAAAATTAACCACAGTATCATTGTTACACCAAAAGTTAGTAATAATTCCTTAGTATTGTGTCAAGTGAGCATTCAAATTTCTAGTCATATGTGTTTTGCAGTTTTAATCAGGTTTTCCAAATACGATCCATACATGGTGATTGCTAGAATTATCTATTACTCTGTTCCTCCCCGTCCCCACTCCATTGCCCCTTGCAGTTTATTTCTTAGAAACGGCTTCAATTGTTTTAAAGTTTTCCAACGTAAATTCTGTCATTTACATCCCACACACATCCCTCTGTATTTTCTGTAAATTGGTAGTGATATCATGGAGGTTTAATTTGAGGGCAAGGTTACATCACGTATAAGTGGTGCTATGTTTTTTCATCAAAAAGAACATGATGCTTACTTTTTTGTGTGTTACTAGCTGCCATTTGGTGCTCGAAGCCTAGATCTATTTGTTTTTACCATATCATATACTTAGACGTCTTAGTAATTGTCATGCTGCTTCCTATCAACTTGTTATCTATCTACCATAACCTCACATCTTATTCTAGTTTTTATTTCTCTTCTCTAGATCAGTAAAAATTCCTTTGAGTGTACCTACCGGTTTAAAATTAGTATGTACTCCAATTATACGTGTACTACTATAGCAGTATGCTGCATACCTTATAAAATACATAAAATGGAAATTTTAGCTATCTGATAATATATTTAACATGTTAATTTTTTCTCATGAAAACAGATTTTGGGAAATAGTGTGATTGCATTTCATTTAAAAAATCTTTTATTACTAAAACATTTTTAGTAAAACTACATGATCAAATGAGTTTCATGCATTTTTTGTTTTTGATTTTATACTTTTTGATTCAGTGATTGAAAGGTGTCAATGAAGAACCAAATATCCAGAACATAAAGACAAACTCTAAAGATACTGGTTGGGATGAAAACTGTTAACATCCAAACAACGTATTTCTTCCATTTGAATCTATATTTTTGAGAGGTGGCACTAATCACATCTAAAAACCAAGTATCAACATACACTGATCATGATATGAGACCTTTCAGTTGCTGAATCAAAAAGTCACATTGAGAAAATAAACATTAAAGGGTCTATTAAAAATGAAGAATGGGATTGTTTGGGGGAAAAACTGGTAATACAGTGATATGTAGTATGGAAGCAAATCAAAGGTGGGAAGATAGTTTGTAGGCCAACACATAAATCTGTGATGTCATCACTAAAGTTTTGTCAAAGGGCCTGAAGAGAGAACACAGGGCATTATGTCTCAGTTTTAGATGTGAATTAGGTGTACACATATGTTTGAATAGCTTTTCTTTAAAAAATTATTTGTTTGATAAAAACTTTATTATCTGTAATATTGTGTACTTTTGTTTCCCAAAAAGTATTGAAACTCATTTCTTATGTCTATATTCATTGGTAACTAGTTGATTTTTAAACATCATCTCCAGAAG